CTATAGTTTTTGTGTCAGTTGAGTAAAATAATATTCTTTGTTTCCCCCTCCTGAGAATTGAACTTAGGGAATACTGAGCTTAGGGAATACTTTTTATTTGTTGTTGTAGTTGTTTTGTTGGTACCAGGGATTGAACTGGGGCCCTTGTGCTTGTACGGCAGGCGGTGGAACAACTGAGCCAAATCCCCAGCCCCCGACCTTTTTATCTTATTTTATTTTAAGATACGGTCTCCCTAAGTTGTCAGGTGAGGCTTGAACTTCTGATTCTCCTGCATCAGCCTCCCAAGGAGCTGGGTACAATATGTGTCGCCATGCCTGGACGTGACCTTCCTCACTCTTCTGTCTTGTTCTTCCTGTGTGCCTTTGTGCAAGATTTTATTTTTCAGTGTGAAAACAATCTGCCCCTTGGGTGATTGACCCTGATGGGAACCCACTGTTACTGTGCGTCACAGATCAGTCCAAGTTCATGGTTCTTACTGTAGCCATTGTCTTGGGGTCCCAGCTCCCCTACAGAGGATTTTTTACTCAGAGTTAACTATCACGGTAGTAAAAGTAGGGCCGGGCATAGTGCCACACACCTGAAATCCCAGCACTCTGGAAAGCTGAGGCAGAATAGATGGCAAGTTCCAGCCCATCCTGGCCAGCATAGACTTCATCTCAAAATAAAAAATAAAAAGGGCCAGGGATTTAGCTCAGTGTTTCCACCACCTACCTTGCAAGTGCAAGGTCCCAAGTTTGATCCCCTGTACCAAAACAAAATAAAAACATAATAGCTGGGGCTGTAGACCCGGGTAAAGGTCCTAAGTACCTCCCCCCAATTAGAAGAGGTGGTAGGCAGAGAAGAGACTTTGGCTCCCTTATTCTCCCTGCTGTACAGTGTGTGGTTGCAGGAGTAGCAGAGCCTGCCTGTAACTCTAACAGAGATTTGCCAGTGTGGGTCACATAGTGAGTTTGAGGCCAGCCTGAATTGCGTAGCGAGACCCTGTTGAAAAAAGAAAATGTGATGTATGTATATACACAATAGCATATTGTTATATCCTAAGGGAAAATGAAATCATTCATTTGTAGGAAAATGGATGGAACTGAAGACTACCTTGTTAAACAAAATAAGCCTCAGAAAAATAAGTCTCGGAAAATTTAAATATCACATGTTTTCTCTTATACCAGCCATTAATCAATCAATCAGTGAGAGATGACAGGAAGCCAGAAGGTAGATTTTTATAGATCTGGAAGGGAATCAAGGGGGTGAAAGGCTGAGATAGGGATGAAAGTAATCAAAATATGTTATATGCGTGTACCAGTAAACCAAAACAGGTCTCATTATTCTGTGTTACTCATAGGTACTAACAGAAATCAAAACAGAAAGGCCTAGTGCTGTTTGAGCCTGTGTCCCTTCACTGATCCAGCTGACTCCAGGCCATGATCATTGCTCCTGGCCCATCTCTAGAGGTTTCTCTCCATCCCTCCAGTGCCTGTCACTTTGTAAAGGCAGACATGGCTCTGCCAGCTTTTGGGGCAGAGTGCTGAGAACAGTGCTGAGTGTTAGGCCATCAGGGCCTAACTAATCTCACCGTGTGCCTTGCTAGAGTCTCCTTTTCCGGTTGGGCCTGTGTTACTAAATTAGTCCATAAGCATGTTGATGTTTGCTGTTCTTAAGACACTGTCTGGCATGGTGGGAGGTCCATAATGTAATGCTGAGTCTCTTCCTTCAGGGTGTAGATGTGACAGGTTTCAGTGAGGAAATCAGGAGCGCTGTCATGCTTGTTTTGCTAGGAGAGGTCCTGCCACTCTGCCAGCCTCCACCTCCTAATGCCCAAGACCTGAGACCATAGGTTCTTTTCTCCACTGCACATCCCTCATTGGGAAACCTGTAGGATTAAAACATCTTCCAGAGAGATTGGGGAGTGGATTTTGCTCATTTATAGCAGGAGTTGAAAGGGGAGCTATGTTAATGGGTCAATTTTCCTGATTTCAGACCCTAAAAAGTCATAGAGTCTTATCAAGGTGAAAAAAGATAGTAACAGGGCTGGGGATTTAGCTCAGAGGTTCGGTGGCCTGCCTTGCAAGCGCAAGGACCCGAGTTCAATCCCTGGTACCAAAAAAAAAAAAAAATAGTAACAGCCACAATTCATCTATCCATCCTCTCTCTCTCTCTCTCTCTCTCTCTCTCTCTCTCTCTCTCTCTCTCTCCCCTTCTCTTTCTTTCTTTTGGTTTTTAATTTTATTATTATTTTTTTAAGACAGAGTTTTGCTGCATAGTCTAGGCTGGCCTAGATAGAACTTGGCAGTATAGCCCAGTCTGGTCTCAAACTCATAATCCTACTTCAGCTTCCCAAGTGCTAACAGCCACAATTTTTAAGCACTTTCTATGCATCAAACAGTATGCTTAGCCAGGTGTGGTGGTGCACGCCTGTAATCCCAGCACTCAGGAGGCTGAGGCAGGAGGATCGCTGTGAGTTCAAGACCAGCCTGGGCTACATAGTGAGTTCCAGGTCAGACTCAACTACATAGTGAGACCCTGTTTCAAAAAACAAAACAAAACAAAGAAAACAGTATGCTTATCACCTTGCATATACCCCTTTATGTGGTCTTTTTTTAATATATATACCTTATATATAGAACTGGCTCTATAGTGAAAGTACTATTCCCACTTTCACAGTGAGAAAACTGAGGCTCACCTAGCTATAACATGCTGATAGGTGATGAAGATGGGGTGGGAGACCAGCCAGGTTGACTCAACATATACTCTTGATCACTATGTCTTTGTGTGTGTTTGACAGTTGTACAGTTAGGACTCACACTTCTGATCCAAGTCGCTGGGGCTAGATGAATGTGCCACCACACTTGGCCCCACTGTGCTATCCTAAACATACTAGCTATCGGTTGAAACTTTTGCAGAAGGCATAACTAGACCCAGTGGCCAGGGTCATTACTTATGTGACATCTTTGAAGTGCTCCTTGTTTAGGTTTAATTAGTTCTGAGTTTGGAAGAATAAATATGAGTTATGAGAAAAGAATCGATTTTTTGGTTCTCATCAGAATTCCTCTTCAAAACTAACACCTGAGTTCCACTTAATTGTGAGACTGCCTCTGAGAAGCTGTCCTCAAGCTGGTGAAATTTCAAAGTTAGGTAAAAACTGTATTTCTGGGAGAGAAGGGTGCTGTCCCTCATTGGGAGACCTATAGCCAGTTCTGGAGAAGGTCTGCCTTTAGAAAAGTAGAGCAAGAGAGGGAGGCTATGTTAAGTGCCTTTAGAGAGAATGAAAGATCAGACTTTCTGTATCTCTTCCAGTCTCATACAAAAGTTTATAAAGTATTTCAGCCCTATACCAAATCCAGAGCAGGGTGGTAGGCAATGCCCAGAGTAGGTCATTCTCACTTTCATGGGAAAGAGCACCTTCCTTTAAGTTTGAGAACTTTTTCTGGATTTTAGAAGGAAAAAAGCTTCAGCATTCCTTGCTGAGATATGGTATATTTGCCTTGTGTTGTTCCTCCATGGATGAAGAGAAGTGTACATTTATACATTTACCATAGAAACTGCTTATAGCTACCTGGATCCTCTTTCTAGCAGTTTATTTGCTGCTGACCATTAGTGAAGAACTACTGTGCTTGGCACTGTTTCTTCTAGTGACAGGACATTATGCTAAGACCAGGAGGTCAGTGATACAGGGGAGAAAATGTCACTCCCAACCGGCTAGATGTCAGCCACTCCGAGTTCATGTTCCCTGAAATTGAAGGATGAATCTGAATGAACAACGGAGATTAAGAGTAGGAAAATTTATGGGGGAATAGGGATGGGGAGTAGCAGGGCCAGGTATTCAGCTCAGTGGCGCTGCGCATGCCTCACAAGCGCAAGGCCCTGAGTTAAATCTGCGGTACAAAAAAAAAAAAAAAAGACTCTTGAGAGACAGGAAAGGTCCTGAATGGCTTGCCAGTGAGCCCACTTCTCTGAGAAAGTTTTTTAGAACAAAATCAGGAGTTGGGTAGGATGTGGGTGAAAACTGTAATCAACTGATGAGTTTACAAGTATAGCCACTTGGCTCATACTGATCCGGTAGTCGCAAGGGCATATGGATGACATCTTTAACCTTGTTCAGTGATCTATACTCTTAGTCTTGTCTTTAGTCTTTAGTCTTAGTGGGTGGGAGAGGATGGCCCACTCCCCAATGACAGATTTATAGGGATAAATCTCAAAAAGGGCGGTACCAATAACCTCAAGCTTCCAGTTATCCCATAGGAAAGTATGTAAATCTGGTCATTGTAACTTTACTCTTTTTCACATACAACTCCAGCCACTGTTTTGTTTTGTTTTGTTTTGGGGATTGAACTCGGGCTCTTGTGCTTGCAAGGCATGTGGCAAAACCACTGAGCTAAATCCCTGACCCATCCACTGTTGTGATGTGTTTTCGTCTTCTGCCCTGACTCCCTCGAGGGCTCAGCCCTATCTGACTGCCTATACTATTTCTACCTAATTTAGCCGTCTGTTGTTTTGATGGGTGGCTCCGGGAACAAACCTGAGTATGGGCACCAGAATAGATTTGTACCAAATCTCCAGCCATTGCAAGGAAAGAATGGCTTACCAAACTCTGATAATGTCTTCTCCATCATTTTGTAGAATATGCAGTACCTGCTTGTACGGGAGGCACAGAGAAACCACCTGGGTAGGCTTTGTGTGAGCAACAAAGTTATTTATTCACTAAGGTGCAGTGGGCTGAATCAAAAAAGGGTGAGCCCCGAGCAAGGGGAGAGCAAAGGTTTTTATGTTCCTTGGGGGTGGGGGTGCTGGGGTGCCAGACTTGGAGGTTGTTGCCAGGCATGCGTTGGTCCGAGATGCCACTGCCTTGAGGAGTCTGGGGCAGAGATAGTGTGGCCATGCTCCTCGGGGCAGAACAGGGTAAGATGTACTGTGACTTTCTGGAACCGAGGGCAGTGTCTCTGTACTCCGACTTCTTGGAGGTGCTCAGGTGTGACACTGCTGAGCATCCCGACTTTGAAGAAGAGAAGCAAAGGTGGCCTGGTCAGACTTGGACTTGGTGCTCAGAGTTGGTCTCTCGGGTTGTCCTTCCCTGCTCTGTGGGAGAAATGGGATCTGAAAGTCATACTCTTTAACTACTTGAGTAAATATATGAAATAGAACAAATGGTTGCAGTCCAGTGGGAAAGACAGTCTGAGATTATTATAAAAATCCTCTAAGGCTGAGGCAGGAGGATCGCTGTGAGTTCAAGACCAGCCTGGGCTACATAGTGAGTTCCAGGTCAGTCTGAACTACATAGTGAGACCCTGTCTCAAAACACCAAAAAATATCCTCTAAAAATCCTTTTTATCTTTTTCTCCTAATTCCTTTCTAGCTGCTATATCTGTTTCAAACCATCTGTAGATTAATTTTTCTATGATTAAGGAATTGAGGATGTTAAAGCAGAACTGCAAGCTGGGTGTGGTGGTGCACATCTGTAACCCCAGCACTCTTGGGAGGCTGAAGCAGGAAGATTGCTGTGAGTGAGTTCAAGGCCAGCCTGGTCTACACAAAAAACCCAAACCAAACCAAACAAAAACATAAAGCAGAACTGCATGAAAGTGCAGCCTCTGGGAGAGTGGAAAATTGGTCTTGAGACGGGAGCATTCACTGTGGAAAGAATTTGTTAATTCCTTTTAATAACCATCCCCAAAGACTGAAAACCACAAATGACCGGGGCCAGAACACTCAACTGAATATTAAGGACCTTTCAATTTCAAGCTCCTAAACGAGAATTGAGTGATCAAAGTAGCTGTCCAAATCACCTTTGCTGATAAGATGTCTGTAAAGTTTTGTTGGTGGTTTACATCAGCAGGGTAGAGCAGGGTTTTCAGTTGCTACTTGTGAAAATTGATAGGCCCTGTGGCCCTGAGGAGCCTGGCAGTTACTAAAGCTCACACAACAAACTACGCCTTCTTTGGGTTACGCTTCCAGCTGTCCACAGATCATTCTTTCCTCTTCTCAGGAGAAGTGACTTGGAATTCCTTGAACTTTTGTTCTCTGAAGACCGAATTTAGTCTGTAAAGCTGACTATGCCCAGATCTGACTAGCCTGCCGCTACAGAAAGAGCACTTGGATTGGGTATCTAATCCCGTGCTGACTATGCCCAGATCTGACTAGCCTGCCGCTACAGAAAGAGCACTTGGATTGGGTATCTAAGAGTGTTGTCACTCTTTCTAGACATTTGTTTCTTCACCTGTGAAACGAGCATGAACTGGGTAGGTAACTTCAGAGGTTTCTTCGAGAGCTGTTAGTTCTGATATGGCTTCCTTCCATGTCATTGACCTCACATGCCACGGAGAGCTCCAGGTCTTCTGGATGCCACTTAACCAGCTGACTCATCTTATTTGAATACATCAAGTACTTCCTATTTCCGTATTCAGTTAGATCCTTCTGTTTGATAGGTCCTGTCACTTGTTTTTATATAATATATATTACATATAATGTTAAAAGAAAATATGACTGTCTCTTAGTTAAGGGGATTAAGAGTCATACAGGTCATAGTCACATATTTAGTAAATGATAGTGTCAAGATTTGAAACCAGAAAGCCGGGCATGCATGGTGGCGCACACCTGTAAACCCAGCACTCGGGAGGCTGAGGCGGAGGATCGTTGTGAGTTCCAGACCAGCCTGGGCTGCATAGTGAGTTCCAGGTCAGTCTCAAATACATAGTGAGACCCTGTCTCAAAAAACCAAAAAGAAAAAAAAAAAAAGATTTTGAAACCAGTGTCTGATCCAGCAGCCCCTTCATTATTTCCCATTGTCATCTTGGTGGGTTCCATGTTTATTCCCTCTTCTGTTGGAAGACTCAGTAAGCTTCTCTATTACTATTTTGTGGTCTCATGCTTTATTTGGCAGCCTGGCCTCGAAGGCAGATCATGATGTTGGAAATGGGCTGGTGGCAGCCTTACATGCTTTCTGTAAGTAGTCATAGCTTTTTGTTGTTGTTGTTGTTTTATTGTTTTTTGTTTTTTGAGGCAAGGTCTCCCTTCATAGTTCAGGCTGGCCCTGAACTCGCTATGTAGCCCAGGCTGGCCTTGAACTCAGGATCCTCCTGCCTCAACTTCCCAAAAAGAGTGCTGGAATTACAGGCATGCATCACCACACCCGGCTCTAAACGGTCATACTTTAGATGTCAGTTCAAACTGAGAAGAAAGTAATGAACACAAGTTTGCTGACAGGATACATCCTGTTATTTAGTTGTCGTTTTCTGCTGGGAATTCAGTCCAACATATTTGAGACAGCAGTTTTTCAGGCCCAGGACAAAGCTTTTGGCATCAAAATTAGATAGCCATCACCAGGAATTTTTCCAACTTGGTGATTCTCATTTGCTACTCTCTTCAGGCTAGAAGTTATTCCTGTTTCAAAAGCCTTGTGTACTTTTTAAAAAATAGACAACAGCTACTGAATATTCTGTGAGGAATGCATATTGTATGTCCTGAGAGATGTGTATGTGTGTGAAACCTTATCGGCAGTTTTCAACTAACCTTGTGCCCTGGGATGTTATCTACTACCCATCTTGATGACATTCTAACCCTGATATGACCAAGAGCTTCATAATCTGTATTATGCAAAGCCAGGCCTTGTGGGCCTTTTTGCTGCTGGGGGTTGAACCTCGGCCCTCTGAACTGGGCTATTCCTCAGCATCCCCACTCCTTTAAATTTTATATTTTGACACAGAGTCTCACTAAGTCGCCCAGGCTGGGCTGAAGAGTGCTGGCATTATAGATGTGCACACCACAACTGGAAGCCTGTGTCCTCTTGCGCCACCAAGGTGTTAAGGTTGGCTGTGGGCAGTAGACCACCTCTGACTTGTGGCTGCTGCATGCCAGTTACACTCAGACTGTGTGGACCTTCTAGGAGGCTGCTTTCATGTTGCGTAAGGGAATGTGGTTTTCTCTTCTCCAAAATCTGTTGGCTAAATGAAGGTGTTTGAGGCCCTGTCTCCTAGCTTATGGTTAGAACTATCTGGAGACAGCCAGAACTTCCAAATTCCCAGTGTTAAGAGAAAGAGGCTTTCATTATAAAATCAGTAAATATTTATTGATTTCTTTTTCATTATGTGCCAGATGTTGAACAGTCATCTCACCTCTTCTTTACATCAGCCGTATGAGTGTTACCCACAAAATTTTATAGATATGAAAACTGAGGCTCAAAAAAATAAACACGCTAGGCCTGGTGCCTGTAATCCCAGCACTCTAGGAGGCTGAGGCAGGAGGATTTCAAGTTGAAGCCCAGCCTGGACAACTTAGTGAGGCCCTGTCTAAAATAAAAAATAAAAGGGCTGGGAATGTATCTTGGTGCAAAGGCCCCGAGTTCAGTGCTCCAATGTGATGGAGGGAGGGACAGAGATACTCATATAAATGTACGCAGCTAGTCAGTGGTCTCCCTGGGACTGCAGCTCAGACCTGTGACCTCAAAGCCTATGTTCTTAATTACTTTACTGTCTTCTCAGGCCCTTTCCCTCCAGAGACCTCAGGAGCCAGTGCCCAGCCCCTACCCAATTTGCTTTTTCCTAACTTGTGTCGAGGTGAAGTGTTTTGAGGCAGAGAAGAAAGCTGAGGCCCCTTTGTCTGTACTCGGTCTTCTCTTGAATCCACAGATGTCCCTTTGTGGTGGAGAATCATGTGCAGCCTGCTCCTGAGACCTTCGGGTCAGTTAAAATAGGTTCTCCCCGTCTGTGAAGGGAATGAGTTTTGAGTCCCAGCAAGCATATAGTCCTTGGGGTGATGGTGTTTCTGTTAAATGTACGTGATGCTCAGGAATTAAAAATTTGAATTCCCTTGTAATTTGTAATTTCTGGAAGGGTAAGTTCAAGATCATTTCATAGGGGGAAGGGCTGCGGCTCAAAAGAAGTGAGTTATCTGAAATCCTATAGTAAGAGTGGAACTCCCAGCTCAGTTATTTATCTTTCATTCATTCGTTATTGATTAGGTTGGTTGGTTGGTTGGTTTTCTGAGACAGGGTCTCACTGTGCAGGTCAGGTTGGCTTTGAACTCACTGTGTAGCCTAGGGTGGCCCCAAACTTGTGGTGATCCTCCTGCTTCAGCCTCCCAAATGCTGGGATTACAGGGGTACACCACCACGCCCAGCTATCAGTTATCTTTCTATCAGGCCCTTCCCAGGATTCACGTTCCCATGCACTGAGGGTTGTAGGTAGGAGGTGTATGAATTCCTTAGAGGGCCTGTAGTCTTATAGGTGATTTCCCAACTTTGAAGCTACCTTAAGCTGAGGTGGTGATCGTGGCTCTAGGGAGCCTGACAGCTGAGGAAAATGTGCTTGTGCTTGGGGGATAGATTGTTACCGGACAGACTGGGAGGCAGTCTCAACCTGGCAGGGGCCATGGAGTTGCTAGGAAGCCTGCCACAGAGGCTGCAAGTTATGGTAGAGCCTGAGGCCTTTAGGGACAGGGGCTCTGGGAGATTGCCCTGGGCTTAACTGCTGCCCTTGCCACATCCCAGACCAGTGCTGAGGCTCAGACAGGACAGGGCCCTAGTCTTAAGCTACAGGAAGTGAAGTCTCAGACTAGGCAAGTACACTCAATGGGCTGAGGCCCAGACCTGCACTTAGAATGTTTCCTACTGTCAGAGATGATGAGGGCGTGAGACGGCAGAGGCAAGATGAATTGACAGCAGCGTTCCCCTGGGTGGAAGAGAAAGGAAAGCAACCCACAGAGAAGGGCCAGAGACGGGTGGCGGAAGGCAGTGTCCACACAAGAGGAGAGCCGACACCCGGCGCAGTGGCACACACACCTGTAATCCTCGCAGTGCGGAAGGCTGAGGCAGGAGGGTCACAGATCCCACCTCCACCTGGGCAGCTTCGTGAGTTAGTGAGATCCTATCTGAAAAAGTAAAACAGGGCTGGGATATAACTTGGTGCAGAGCTCTGGGTTCAATCCCTAGTATCTCTGATGATGATGATAGTAAGAGAATGGAGATTGTTCCCCGAGGACGATCCAGCCAGGCTACTCATTTCTTTCTAAGGAGCTGGTGTCTCGGGAGCCTTCTCTGCTTTCCCTGTCCTATAATGAACTGATGGCTATACTGGCAAAAGCCAGCCTTGCTAGGAAAGGAAGAGTAGCTGCTCTAAGCAAGACCTTCACTTCTGTTCTGCCCTGGCAAGAGGAGAATGCCCAGGAGACATCCGAGGCTACCAGATGTGGCATGGGGAGCTTTTCTGTGCCCTGTGTGACATTCCTCAGGGAAGGCCCTGCCCAGTGGCTGGGTCATGGGCAGTGCTGAGGCCACCCCGTCTTCAGGGTTCAGGAATGCATTTATGACTTTATTTTGCCTGGACCCTGGAGGCTGGTTCTATCTTGGAGGAATTGTGCCTTTTTCTGGCCTTGAGCCATTCACTTCTGAGCAAAGACCTTGGCTGTAGCAGTTCCAGCTACACACGTACCCCTGTGCATGAGGGGCCTGGATTACTTTGTGGGTGACTGTTGTTGCTAGGTAACAAACAGAACTGGAAACAGAAGAACCACTAGTGTCTGTGGGGCCCAGTGAGCAGTGTGATCTTGTGGAGCTGGGCGTCCAGAAGGAGGGAAACTTGGCAGACCCTTGTTCTTCCCGTACCCTCCCTCCAAACCCAAATTCGGGGCCTTCCCCATAGAATAGAAGCCTTCCCTGTGGGCACCAGCCCATCAGTCGTCCGGATGTTTTTTTTTTTTTTTTTTTTTTTTTTTTTTTAGACAGGGTTTCACTGTGTAGTTCAGGCTGGTCTCGAACTTACTATGTAGCCCAGGCTAGCCTCAAACTCAAAGTGATCTTCCTACCTCAGCATACTGAGGGCTGGGATTACAAGGTGTGCACCACCCTGCCCAGCTCTTCTGGACCTCTTAGCAGGTAGAATTGCTTGCCCCCGAAGCAAGTCTGCCCTGGCACAATTTGGACTGGTGAGGCGGAGTAGCCCAAGGCACCTTTGCGGTACTCAGGAGCCTGTCCCTTCACTCCCTGCTTCTGTCAGACCTAACTGTCCTCATCAGCCATTGACTACTTTCTGCCATCTCCCCACTGAACAGAGCAATCTCCACGATGGCATGTCAAGTTACCGGGGATCGAACTCGGGTCCTTGCGCTTGCAAGGCAGGCCATCGAACCGCTGAGCTAAATCCCCGGCCCCCTCCCCCCCTTTTTTTGAGGGGTGGTGGTGTGGGGATTGAATCCAGGGCTTTCACACTGAGCTACATCCCAGCTCTTTTTAAATTTTTTGCTTTGGGACAGGGTCTCACTAAGTTGCCCAGGCTCGGCTCAAGCTTATGATCCTCCTGCCTTACCTTTTCCAGAGGGCTGGGATTACAGGAGTAATCTACCCAGCCCATTCCTTCCTCCTTAACCACAGATGTACCAAGTTCCCAGAATCAGTAAAAATTTGATCCTTCACCATACCAAGCCAGAGAAGCATTGTTGAGGAAAGACTTTGCCTCAGAACAAGAGCTCTAGCTTAGTCTTGAAAGTGTCTCCTGTACCCCGTCTGAGAAGACCAAAAGCTTGATCCAGGCAATGGATGGGAAGGCTGAGTTGGCACTGAGAGGAAAACAAGTGCAGATGGTGCTAAGGAACATCCCAGGACTGAAAAAACACAGTTCCCAGAAAGGGAGAAGCTGGGGAACGTGGCAAAGTCTTACTCAGCAACTATGAGAGACTGGCCAAAGAAAGCTTCAGGAGAGGACTGAGTACATTTATAGTATTAGAAACACAGAGTGACCACAGACGCTTGCTTTTCTATCATCTGCCATACAGGCCGGGCTGGTCAGGGAAGGCAGGGAGTGAAAGACATTTCAAAGTGGCTCAGGGCCAGGGATATAGCTCAGCAGCACAGCGCCTGCCTGGCCCCGAGTTCACTTCCTGGTACAAAAAAAAAAAGTGGCCCAGAAGCCTGAGGAAATGCTCCCTGTGGCAGCGATTTTTCTCTGGATAAGTAGTGAACCCTATAAGGCAGCAGCATGTGCTAAGTGACCTGCAGTTTGCATGCCCCAGCCCCGCCTGGCCTTTGACCTTCCCCAGGTGCTAGAGGTGGTGCGAGCCAACTATGACACGCTCACGCTGAAGCTGCAGGACGGCCTGGACCAGTACGAGCGCTACTCAGAGCAGCACAAGGAAGCTGCCTTCTTCAAGGAGCTGGTGAGTGTCTGCCTCTGCCCATGTCTCTGGGGCTCCCTGCAGGTGGGCTTCTAGGGAACTAGGGGACAGTGGGAGTTGCCAAAGCTGATAAAATAAGCCTGAACGGCTCTCCTGGGATCAGCGCCGCCTCTCTGTAAAGCAGTTCAGGACAAGCAGGGAGGAAGGAAAATGTTCCTGAGCAGCACCGCTAGCCTTCCCCACAGACACAAGACGGCTCTTGCACACCTCCAGCCGGGTCTGGGTTGGACATGTGTTCCCGGTAGCAGCGCTGGCTCATTGTTCCACATCCTGTCCTCAACCAGCAAGAGTAGTTAATTCTTTTTGTGTAGTCATTTCCAATTTTTTTTTCCCCCCTGTGGCCTGCATTTCTTTTTTCTTTTTTACTTCCTGAATTCCTAACTGGCTCCTGGTCTGATGTAGTTATCCAGTTTCTACTCCCTATACCCATTCCCACTTCCGGTCCCTCAGTTTCCAACAACTTCTACCCTTGGCCCCCGGTGCCTGGGAGCATTTGCTCTGCCTCTTGCTCCACCTCCTTGTCAGCATCTCTGGAAAACAGCTTCTCCTGCTGACTGTCTCTTTCCTGCCCTATGCCCAGTGCTGTTCTCGGGAAGGCCTTTGCCTCCCTGTGGTCCTGCCAGTGTACCCAGGCCTCCTGGCTGGAAAGTCTGGACACACTGGCCTCTCCCCGCTTCCCTTCCTCTCACCCCTCTCTACTGGGCTGTAACTTCCGTCAGCCCAGCTTCTCCCCCCATGCCAAGTCTGTGGTAAGGGTGCTGATTTTAGGTCGTCTGTCTTGTGCTAAACCGGCCCCAGCTTTGACCCTGACGTGACGTTCCTCAGGACTTCTCTGGGTTGAGTCAGTTAGGAACATGGCATCCATTACTGTCAGGACACAGTAAAGGGAGTATTTTTATGGGGTGGTTGGTGAGTCTTTATGTTGGTGCAGAGGAATTAGTGGGATCCATCAATAAGCAAAGAGAATTAGTTATTGGGAGAGAAGAGGGTTGTGAAAGAGAAGTAGAGGAACTGATGAGGCTCTTTAGCACTGACTTCTGCCCTACTCGATTCTGTCTGCACCCTGGCACGGGGGAGCAGAACAGATCTAGTCCAGGTGGGAGGTAGTGAGCCTGAATTGCTGCCTTTTCCTTTGCTTCCTCCCTGACCACTTAATTCACTTAATTCCTCACCTTCTCCAGGTCCGATCCATTAGCACCAACGTCCGGAGGAACCTGGCCTTCCACACACTCAGCCAGGAGGTCCTGCTGAAGGAGTTCTCCACTATCTCCTGAGACCCCGCCTCCTGACAGCCACCAGCTGCCCTTATTCATGAGACTCCTGGGCTAGAGAGGGAGAAGGGGCTGCCTCTGAGGTTGGAGAGAAACACAGACAACAAGGTCTTTGATGAAGGCTGCACTTCAGTGGAGCTTGGACAGCAGCAGGAAGCCAGGGGCTCTTATTTGGGGAGGAATGGGAGGGCAAAGGGAGACACATGTAAGGATGTGGGGGCTCCAGAGTGGGCCCCCCGGACACGCTCTCACATTTCCAGTTGAGACTGCAGGAGTTGGTGGACTAAGCCCTAGGTGGTGCCAACATCCCAAAGTCCAGTGGCTTTTTGCAGGGTTCTGAACAAATCAACTTTCAGATACCTGGAACTCCCTCCTGCTTTCTTTGGGCCTGGAGCTAAGTGGGGCTTGAAGTATGTGCCCCTTGCCCTACAGGTGATTGGTGCAGTCATCTTAGCTCTAGCTCAGGGTTGACTTCTCTGAGAAACCAGAGATTGGAATCTGCCCAGAGCTCTGCTGTCCAGCCACCACTTGGTAGATTTTAGTTTTGGCACCAGGAGTTCCTGTTAGCTTTCTCCTGCCTTCCAACCCATGGACTCATCAGCACAATAGGCTCTTAGCCCTCACTTTTTTATTTGTTTGTTTGTTTGTTTTTGGTGCCGGGGATCGAACTCAGGACCTTGAAGGCAGTGGAACCACTGAGCTAAATCCCCAGGTTTCACTTTTTATTTTTAGTCTGCTTTAAACTGTCTATGAGTGTGTGTGAAATAAACACTGACAGGTTTTCGGACCCCTCAAGGTGCCTACTTTGCTAGTTCCCTTCCCAGCAGCTTCCCCTACCCCAGCCAGCCCTCCACAGGGAGCCTCTCCTGCCTCTGAGCTCCCCTCCAAGTGTTCCACTCCCTCACCCTGCTGCTGTTTACATCCAGCCTGCCTGAGAATTTCCTCTGGGGAGGAGTCTGATCCTGCTGCAGTCTGGTGCTTGGGAAGGAAAGAACCCGCTGGGTGCAGGGTACCATCCATCTAAGAGAGGCTGGGTGAGCACTGTACCTGCCAAACTCGGGTGGGCCACGGGCAGATCTCCTGGCCTTGGGAAAGCTGGCCTGTGCTCTTCCTTCGGGTAGCCTCAATGGGACCACTGTAGGCTCTCCCTGCTACCCCACTGCTGCCTCCAAAATAGCTGCAGCTCTGAGATCATCCCTTTCTAAAGTACTTTTAAAGCCCTCAGGATGGTAGGCAGGAAGCAGCAAAGGAAGAATCAGAGCATGTAGGAATCCAGCCATGAGAAGAGGCGCGGGACCTCCCCAGCTGCCACCCATTTAGCCTCAGATCACTGAGGAACACTTGCCCTCCCTGGCTTCAGCATTGAGCAGATAGTTCCAGAGCATCACCAACAGACTGCTGTGCATGCATGGAGTTGGCAAGAGGTCATGGGCTGGCTTTCCCCGGAGCACGGGTAGCCTTACCTGGGGCATGTAGGGTCTTCGGGCGATAAACTGCATGGCAGCTGGATCTGAAACTGCTGACGGGTTGAAGTTATTAAAAGTTGACTTGTGTGGGACAGTCTTTTCAAGTGTTTTTCTCCCCCATTTAATCTCTGTTGCCCAGACTCATTTCTCAAAGACTTGAGGTGCTCTCCCAGTGTGGTTCCCCTGGCTAGGGAGAGCTCCAGTCCTTATAGCCTCCTCCTCCTGAGTCTCCTGGCCCTAGTAGGCCTGTTTGGTTGAGTTTTGTAGCCTCCAGCGCCCTTTAGAGTTGTGTCCCCAACCTCTTTGGTACCAGGGGGCAAAGCTCAGGTGGGGAGCAGCTGTAAGTAGGGGTGAAGCTTCCTGCTTTGTGGCCCAGGGTTGGGGACCCCTGCTGTAAGTAGAAGAAAGGAGAAGAGAATTGCTTGCTGAGGCCAGCAGTAGTCCCTTGGGCTCCTGGGTTCCTTTCAGCCTCCCCTAACAAGTGATGAAGGGCAGCTTTTGACATACTTCTTGCCCACCGTCAAAAAAGGCCGACCTCCTGCTTCAACTTGGGGTACTTGGAACCCTGTCTCAAGCCTTCTGGAGTCCTAAGATTACAGGTGTGTGTCCCTGTGCCAAGCCCTTCTAACCTGTTTCTTCACAGTCACCTGTTCCGAGAACAGGGCCCTCAAGAGGAGCTGTCCTGCTCTGTCCCCGCTTGCTCATTCTTTGCCCAGAGCGGTGGAGGCTCCTGCAGAGGCAGAGCAGAGCCCAAGTCCTGCTGGGGGCCCTGAATCCAACTGAGGAGATTAAATGTGCTGGGCTCCCTTCAGCCGAGCTTCGGCTTCCGAGGCCGCTCCTCCAGATCCGCCAACAGCATCTGCCCGTCCCGCCCGCCCGGATCCCACGCTTTAGGAAAGGAGTTAAACTTCGGGGAGGTGGCTTCTTGTTACCACCTGGACCCCAGGTCTGCCGGAAAACAAGGCATCTAGGACAGGGCAGGTAACAAAAGAGAAGGCAGAAACGTAGAAAGGGAAAGGGGGATCAAAAGAGCAAGGGAGGCCCGGAGTTGCCTGGCCTGTGGGCTCGCGGGGGCCCAGATCTGGGAATGGCGGTGGAGACAGCCAGAGAGAAGGGAGGACCGGAGCGGGGCCTGCCTGACCTCTGCGCGCATCTCCCTTCTCGGAAGCGGAGCAGGCGGGTGAGGACCGGGAACCCGCTGGAACGGGCAGGAGGAACCTGGACCCCGCAAACCCCAGGCTGGGGGG